TTTTGTCTGCAGCCATCTGGTGCAGCGAGCCCGTCGGTCACAGCCCATCACCAGCCCAGGCAGTGCCACCAGGAGATGACACCCTCACAGCTCCACGGCCACACTCGCCAGGGCAAGCAAAATCCAGATTTACATCTGCAAGCTTCCACCTCTGCACAGGCTAAACCAGAAAGGAGACGGCCTCTCCCTTTGGCCAGAGAAGGAGCTTTGGATTTGGAAGCCCATGTATGGGGAGCACCCGGGTCTCCTGTAGGCAAAGGGATGGCAGCACCAAGGAAGCTGTGCCAGGGCACGTGAGACCCACCTGGGAAGCCAGCCATGGGCAGGGACGCTCCCCGGCGCCCATCGTCCGTGAACAGGACCAACATGGGCTTCTTGCTCTCGTGGTGGTCCCTGCTGGATGCGAACTGCAGCGGTGGGGGGTCAAGTGGGCTCCCGCCCAGGCCCTGGACTGTCACCAGCAAACCCTGGTTGCTGCTTTCGTCTTCGGTCCAGTCACGAACCTGAGGAACCAAACTGGTGTCACCACAGCACCGCAGGCCTGCAAAGGCACTGTGCTGGTGTCCCCACAGCAGACGCCAGGTCAGCAGCCCCAGCGCCCTGTCAGCAGCAGGGCAGAGTGGGCTGGGACCCCCTTGGCCACACTCCACCTCCCAGCCATGGGAAGAGGCTGTGCTCCTCTGGGGCTGTGGCGCAGGGGACGTTGCAGTAGGAGCCAGCACCTGTGGAGCAGTGGGACTGGGCTGAGGCAGGATGGAGCAGCCCCCGGGGCTCTTGGCAGGGCTCTCATCCCCCCTCCCAGGCGCTGTATCCTCCCCCCCTTTGCTGCAGACACTACCGATAGGAAATTGCATTAGAGCCCAAAAGGCCGCTGGGGGTGAAAGGGGTTAAAACAAGCTCCCGCACACAGACCCCCCAGGGTTCCCTCTGTGCCCCCTGAACCAGAGGAAAAGCAACTCACAGCCTGTGTGATGGCAAAGACCTCCCAGCCCGAGCCCTGCAGCGAGACCAGCCTGGCTGCCAGCAGCTTCTTCCCTCCGGGGGCATCCGGCTCGCTCTTCTCCAGCACTTGGTAGACGCTGACCTGGGGAATGCAGCAAAGGGCGGTTACCACCAGCGTGTCCCGCCCGAGGGGAAAGACCCCGGACGGACGTAGGTACTGGGGAGAAAAAGAAAATGGGAGACGCAGGAGTCATCAGCTTGGATTTGTC